CTTTAACCTTTCCTGGTAAGTTTTAATATAGAGTTAAAACCCCTTCAGCCACTTACCTGAATCCAGTGCAGATGTCCCTCGGCGCTGGGTCAGGCTCCGCCCACGCTCCTCCCCAGACGATGTCAACCAGCGGGGGAGACCTAATGCGCATGTGCGGCAATGGTCGCATGCACATTAGACCTCCACATAGGAAAGCATTATTCAATGCTTTCCTATGGGGAAAATCTGACGTTGGAGGTCAGTGAGGACATCCAGCGTCAGATAATGGACCAAAAGTCCTTTTGGATTCTGGAAGCGCCCCCAGTGGTTCTATGGTAGACAGCCACTGGAAGCAGACTTAGCTTTGCAGCACATTGCAGCACTAAGTGCAATAGAGAGACAGCACCCAGACCACTTCAATGACAGACTGTGCAATAAAGAAAGTTTAAACGTTAGATATCTGTTTAAAGGAAGTGTTTAGGGAGGCTGTGCTAAATCCCATGCAGGGGAGTGTGAATAGGGCTCCGTAAACAAAGCGATTTAATTCCTAAATGGCATAGAATTTAAGCAGTAAGACTGCAGGGGCATGATATATACACTAAGACCTCTTTATTAAGCCAAAGTTATTTTGGTGACTATACTGTCCTTTTAATTGTCTCTGATGTAGACATTAAAATATCAACAACTCTGGATCACTGCTGGTTAATAGGCCCTCTGGGATTCACACTTGTGAATTGCTGGTTTTGAACCAGCCTCCAGACTATATTGACTGAGATGGTTAAAATAACTTGTTTTCCCCTTAATTCGCCATTAGTAAGTGTCCTGATTGTATAGTACAGTGGAGTATATTAAAGTAAACAGAATTATACTGTGTTGCATTCCATACAGGATCCATTATTATAGTACTGTACAGTATATCATAGCATATAGCATTATCTTGTGTTACATTCTATAAACAATCCTATTTATATTACAGAACCGTATTATGGGAAGACAAACATATACACCACAACCTCCAACACCCACAAACTGTTGGATACGGGTACTTAACACAGTGCAGGGTCTGCTTCTCACCGGATTCCCTAGTCCTAATATACAAAATATTAGATGTAGAATATACGAAGATACATTTGTGTTTGTATGGGATAAAAAATGTTCTTTACTATATTTCCTGTATTTTCTTTATAGTGTTATACCAATATTTATGCTGATTGTCAATCAGGAATCAAGATTCTCTGAGATTGATTTATAAGCTTACTCCACTAAACAGTGCTACATGATGTTGTTTTTTTTATATATATATTTATTTGTTGTTTCTATTTTGATCATGATCCTGTATTATAGTATTGTATTATAGTATCATATCGCTCAAAATTTCAAATGGACAAAGAGGGACACTTTCATTTTAAGGGTGTGAGTGGAGGCCTGGTCACGGGGAGGGCTGTTCTGTGACATTTTAGGTGATTTTACTAATAACAATTTAAACAACTAAAATGCAATCTATAACAAGCACAATGGATCTTACTTACACAGACTGATTTCTAAACACATTGCTGGGAGTATTATTGCTGTGGAGCTCTGTTATACACTCAGACACATTACTGGGAGTATTGTTGCTGTGGAGCTCTGTTATACACTCAGACACATTACTGGGAGTATTATTGCTGTGGAGCTCTGTTATACACTCAGACACATTACTGGGAGTATTATTGCTGTGGAGCTCTGTTATAACTCAGACACATTACTGGGAGTGTTATTGCTGTGGAGCTCTGTTATAAACTCAGACACATTACTGGGAGTATTATTGCTGTGGAGCTCTGTTATACACTCAGACACATTACTGGGAGTATTATTGCTGTGGAGCTCTGTTATACACTCAGACACATTACTGGGATTTATTGCTGTGGAGCTCTGTTATACACTCAGACACATTACTGGGAGTATTATTGCTGTGGAGCTCTGTTATACACTCAGACACATTACTGGGAGTATTATTGCTGTGGAGCTCTGTTATACGCTCAGACACATTACTGGGAGTATTATTGCTGTGGAGCTCTGTTATACGCTCAGACACATTACTTGGGAGTATTATTGCTGTGGAGCTCTGTTATACACTCAGACACATTACTGGGAGTATTATTGCTGTGGAGCTCTGTTATACACTCAGACACATTACTGGGAGTATTATTGCTGTGGAGCTCTGTTATACACTCAGACATATTACTGGGAGTATTATTGCTGTGGAGCTCTGTTATACACTCAGACACATTACTGGGAGTATTATCGCTGTGGAGCTCTGTTATACACTCAGACACATTACTGGGAGTATTATCACTGTGGGGCTCTGTTATACACTCAGACACATTACTGGGAGTATTATCGCTGTGGAGCTCTGTTATACACTCAGACACATTACTGGGAGTATTATCACTGTGGAGCTCTCTTATACACCCAGACACATTACTGGGAGTATTATTGCTGTGGAGCTCTGTTATACATTCAGACACATTACTGGGAGTATTATTGCTGTGTGGCTCTGTTATACACAGACACATTACTGGGAGTATTATTGCTGTGGAGCTCTGTTATACACTCAGACACATTACTGGGAGTATTATAGCTGTGGAGCTCTGTTATACATTCAGACACTTGGGTGGTATGCAGTATTACAGTATATCATATTATATATGACCCTGTATTATAGCATGGTACAGTATATATATAATGATGTATTATAGATAATAATAATAATAATGATATCCTGTATTATGCACTGACTGCATATGATATTAGTAACTCCTATTACAGAGACCACTTTCCCCTGTGCCAGGTGCACGTGCCAGAGCAGGCAGGAGTGGGTCACGTGACAGTACATGGTCCCGCCCTTTTCGCGTCGGCGGAAGTGAAGTCACGTGACCGGGGAAAAAGCTGATCGCTGTGTCTGGGAGCTTGTTAGTGTTTCTGGGTCCTCGGGAAACAACAGCGAACCGGGACCAGGACCTACCGCGGGTACCGAGCCCAGCCCTCACGGCCGGTACCGTATCAGATCAGACTATCCCTCATCCTGGAACCCCGACACCGGCACCCAGGTACACTCACACCACCTCCCAGATATAAACACCGAGCACAGCCCCCATTACACACACACCTGCCCCCCCCTACACACTGCCCCCCACACACCTGCCCCCCTACACACTGCCCCCCCTACACACTGCCCCCTACACACACTGCTCCCCTTACACACCCTGCCTCCTACACACTGCCCTACACACTGCCCCCCATACACACTGCCCCTACACACTGCCCCCTGCCACACACCACTGCCCCCTACACACACACACACTGCCCCCTACACACTGCTCCCCCCACACTGCCCCCCCCTACACGCCCCCCCCCACACGCCCCCTACACCTGCCCCCCCCACACACCGCTGCCCCCCACACACCCTCCTGCCCCCCTACACACTGCCCCCCACACACACTGCCCCCCACACTGCCCCCCCTACACACTGCCCCCTACATACCTGCCCACCCCCTACACACTGCTCTCCCCTACACACTGCCCCCCACACACGTTGCCCCCCTACACCCACTGCCCCATACAACCCGACCGACCGACTGTATTATACTGTGTTGTTATTATTATTATACTGTATTATTCTGTCATTATTATGATACTATTATACTGTTAATAACACTGTATAACAATACAGAATAATAACAATACAACAATAACACTGTATAATATTAAACTGTTATTATACTCTGTGCGCTGATTATTAATTTACATTCCTTGTGAGTAATGTCACTTAAACTCACATACCGAGCATGCCATCCTGTAACCAGCATACTGCCAACACCCATACTGAACTGTCAGTATACTCCTTGTGCCCAATAATGACTCACAGCCCTAGCTGTCATTCCCCAACACCCATACTGAACTGTCAGTATACTCCTTGTGCCCAATAATGACTCACAGCCCTAGCTGTCATTCCCCAACACCCATACTGAACTGTCAGTGTACTCCGTTTTGACAGCCCAACACCCAGACTGAGCTAGCTGTCAATATACTCCTTGTACTAATGACAGACACAGCCCAACATCCATACTGAGCTAGCTGTCAGTATACTCGTTGTACTCAGTATTGACAGCCCAACACTCATACTGAATTGTCAGTGTACTCCTTGTGCTCAATAATGACCGGCACAGCCAAACACCCATACTGAGCTAGCTGTCAGTATACTCCTTGTACTCTGTAATAACAGACACAGTCCAACACCCACACTGTACTAGCTTTCAGTATACTCCTGGTACTCTGTATTGACAGACACAGCCCAACACCCACACTGTACTAGCTGTTAGTATACTCCTGGTACTCTGTATTGACAGACACAGCCCAACATCCATACTGAGCTAGCTGTCAGTATACTCCTTGTACTAATGACAGCCCAACATCCAAACTGTACTAGCTGTCCATATACTCCTTGAACTAATGACAGCCCTACACCCATACTGAGCTAGCTGTCCCTATACTCCTGATACTCTGTAATGGCAGGCACAGACCAGCACCCATACTGCACTAGCTGTCAGTATACTCCTTGTACACAGTAATGACAGACACAGCCCTATGTGACATTGTCACACTGCACTTATTGTACGTGGAATTACAAGTACAGCTCTTATGAATTATACCAGATATGACTATCTTCAACACTCCTATAGTTCTCTGAAACTCCATATATGCCCTCTGTGCAATAATATAGGATATATCTATAGGTCCTCAATATACATATACTGCAGTGCAACTTGTACCCAATATTGGCTACATAATAAAAACAACCCAGAATGTCATTTTCTTAATAAGTTCATGTGTTTTCTCCGTATAGACTCCTGTCCGTAATCACAACCAAATATGCAGTTTTCTAATATGCATATTCAGATTTGTATTTTTTTAGAAGGTGGTTTTTCTTGGAAAGATAGATATTTCTCTCATTTACAGTGTATGGCTTGTAAACCATGGTCTAATTGGTTTAGACCCATAACATACACAAAACATAGGTAACCATTAGCAGTGCTGAATGTTTTGCTTGGAAATTAAATTCTTGTCAGAGGTTGACTTGTGGAAGATTTGGTGGTTTAATTGAAGGTCATTCCATAGTTGCAAAGATCTGTATTAGAAGGCTGAATGATTGACTTTCTTGTTGTAACCGGGAATGAAGCTTAGGGTTCTGAAAGTGGCTGTTTGCATATTGAGGCTGTGGAGAGCAAGATAGAAAATGTTTGGGTAGTGTCAGTGTTTTCTGGAGAAGTGATTATGACCCAGTTAAGGTTAGTAAAGATACGTTACTCATTTTAGTTGTTTTAACAATCACAATGATGGGTCAAGGAATAACTTTGAATGAAAAATAAACTATAAATTTTATCGTGTTGAGTTTACCGAGATGGATATTAAGTGAAGATTCATACCTGTACATTACATTTTGTACTACAGTTTTCTTTAACCACTGTAATATTTCTTTTGAATAATACCCAGTGTAAACACATCATTTCCTTGAAACTCACACTGGCAAACTGTTCACTAATTAGCCACAATCGTGTAGGTTCCCCTCATGCTGCCAAAATAGCTTTAAAGCATTGTGGCATGGACTCCACAAGACCTCTGAACGTGTCCTGTGGTATCTGGCACCAAGACATTTGCAGCAGATCCTTTATGTCTTGCAAGTTGCGAGGTGGGGCCTCCATGGATTGATTTGTTGTTCCAGCATATCCCACAGGTGCTTAATCGAATTGAGATCTGGGGAATATGGAGACTAAGGCAACACATTGAACGATTTTGTTGTGTTCCTCAAACCATTCCTGAACAATTTTACAGTGTGGCAGGGTGCATTATCCTTCTGAAAGAGTCCATTGCCATGAAGAGGTGTACATGGTCTGCAACAGTCTCTAGGAAGTGGTACGTGTCAAAGTAACATCCACATGAATGACATCCAAGGTTTCCCAGAACAAAGTGCAATTTGACCCTTCAAATAGAAGTCATTATTTGACACCAGGAAAAATCTGACCTAAAAACTGCAGTTTGGAAACACTATGATGCACATTCCGGATATAAGCCCGAATGCTAATATGTTTCTGTTAAACACCCGCTGAGAAATATCCAAATTCCATGCAGAATTTAAGAATTTGATTCTCATTCTTCAGAATGACAAAATCTGTCAAAGTGGGGGCATCTAGGGTTAAGTCCAAATGTGCTGGTACGATTTGTGTCCTTTTAGTTATGCCACTGTGCAGCGCCATGAAACCTCTTGTTTTATATATAAAACCAATTCTCTTTTCACAAGTTTGTGTCTGGAATGACCCACAGGGAGACATACTGCCCTCATCTGTAGGTGTGACACGTGGAGCTCTGTTTTGTGCACTTTGCTCACCCTTCTAGGAATTGTTGAGAATTGACACTGCAATTCCAAAGGATCGAGCGAAACTGCCAACCAGGGAAGAATAACCTAGCTGTAGGTTGCTTTGTTTTTTTTCCTACAATTTGCAGCTCCCTTGTCAAATCTAAACAATTACTAACACGCATGATAAAGCCATTTGCTTACACTCCCACTACACCTGGGCAGCAGCAATGGCTACAGTATTCACCAGCCCAGTTTTTATTTTTTATTTTTTTTTTAAAATTTTTTAGCATCACATGAATGGCCATTGGAGCAATACTCATTATTTAAATGTGCATATGGATTTGGGGTAGGGCGCAGGTAACTCTTTGTTTTTTGTTCTATGTATTTGGGCTCTTGTACACTGGATCCATTGGTGCTGCCCAGGGGTAGTATGAGTTTAAGCACAAGGCTTCATTTTGTATGTTAGTATTTGCTTTTGTGTTACACAGCCATGTTGCAGTGCTGCCGTGTGTAGGGGTTCATAAAAATACCCCTTCATGTGATTTTTGCCCCTTTTAGCTGAAAGAAGCAAGGAACTGTTAGCGTAGGACTCCCATAAGAGGTTTTGCCTTGACATGGCAGATAAGCTTACCCTTCAATGGTCATTGAAGTAATAAAAAAAAAAAAATAAACTTTATTGAAATGTGCATAGCGATTTGGCTTGGAGCTCGGGTAACTCTTTTTGTTTTCTAATAAACACAAATACCTTTTTAATAAGAAAAAAAAATACATTCTGCTATTCATTTTCTCTCCTTTATTCAAATTCCGGACTGACTTAGTTATTTAACTTTCTGGGATACTCATGAGTGGCTGAACCACATGAGCAAGCACTTGTTGCAGAAACGTCTTACCGTGTAGTACTCTTAGTTTATGGATGGTTGTTTTGCTGTTTCAGGTAACAGAATCTGTTTTTTATTAAACACTCCACTGGTTTGTTGTGTTTGTGCAGCTTTAAGGGTTACTGAAGTCTGTCGTAACTTGAGAGAGCAGCCTTCGTGCAATAAAGCACTGATATTTCTCCAGATATATATATTAAGGTTTTTATTTTGCTTTGTGTATAACCAGTTAGAGGCATTCAAATATAAATCATAAAATATTGAATCTGCAGGGGGGATTCATTGAAGCTTAGATGTTTCCAATGACTTTTGCAATCCGTTACCTGCAATGTCAGTGCTACTTTTACTCAAGTGAGGTATGTTAACACCTAAATCACCAATTACAATGCGTACTATTAAAAAAAAAAAAAAAAAAAATTAAAAATTTTTTGACCCTGTAACTTTACAAAACCCCATGAAATCTGTACATTGGGGGCCTCGTTCTACCAATGGAACATCACAGTATACAGATGAGTGTTTTATTACAGAAAAGCTAACCATATTATGACACTCTTTTAAATTGCCATGCAGAACTTGGAAAAGAACATTTCATTTCTCACACTTTTTATATATTTTTTATTATTATTATTATTATTATTATTATTTTTATTTGTTTTTCATGTGAAATGAAAGCCCGGTTTCTCCTGAACAAAAAGATATCGGATATAAATGAGGTAAATTATGGTTGAACAGACATATAGCTAAAATTCTAGGGTTTTGTTTTGGTCAGAATGTGTCCATTGGTCTCCATCCTTAAGGGGTTAATTGGTCACTTTTCATGATTTTCAGTATGTATCCATGGCTTGAACTTTGGGCTGTGTTATCATCTAAATTGCACAGTTTCTTCCATGACCCGAGGCAGCGGTGAGGTCTCCAGTTGCAGTAGATCCTGTTTTTAAGAAGTTTGCCACCTTTGTCCTTGTTAGACAGAATATGCACGATTTTCGTCCCCTCTGTTCCTGGAAAGAAAACCTCTTCCTTCCCATTGTAATGACTACAGCACACACCCTGTGCTATTCACATACATAGCACCTACCTACCCCCCACATTCAGGGCTTTTCTAAGCCAAAATAACCCTTCCTCCTCTGTTGGTCTGTGATCCAGCCCCAAGCACCCATTCCCCCTCGTCACCAGTGTTCTAGACACACTTCGTTCAGCTGATCTATCCATTCTATTGCAAACTGCTAAACCCGTAACCTTGTGTTTGAAAATGTACGTAATGTTCTTAGTGCAGCAAGTATATAGGCTGGGTTACTGCCTATTGATGACTAATTTTACATATTTATTTTATTTATTTATTTTTTCTTCATTTTTGCTTTCGCAGTTGTCATGTGAACACCGCTCGTCCTGAAAGGCTGTAAGATGTATTCGCCTTTTTCTCCGGATAATGAATCCGGAGCCCGAGAAGTGAGACAGGTAAACTGAAAATGTTTATGGTTTATGATAATAAAGTGACTGTAACGAGAGCCCATTTTATTAGAGAGTAAACTGTAACATGATGTGTGCCATCATGGGTTTCACATCTGTCTGTTGCTTTACAGTTATGTTTGAAATGCAACTCCTGTGCTGCTCAGCCAGAAGCAAACCTTTTATGATAATTGCAGCGTGCCATTGGAATGGTATTTCTACCACATCTTCAGTTTCTTGCTGATTTACCTCAGATCAAACTCGAAAACAAGTTTGGAATTTTATCAAACTTGGGCCACAATTTAATATTACTGGATGAGCTTTAAAAAATGATTTAATATTTATTTATTGATAGCTGATTTGTTTGTTTTTTTTCACCTTTGTTTTTATTGAGGAAGATTAAGAGTACAATGATTTAATATATTTTAATAAACTTTTTTGAAATTATCTTTTTAATATTAAAATGTCAAACATGTAAAAAAATAAATTAAAAAAAATATTTTTCAAAATATGAAATATTTTTTTTAAATTTAGCCAAAAGTATGAAATAAAAAAAATAAAATAAAAAAAAATAAAAACTTAGCCAACAATATTTTGTCATAAGACTCTCAGGTCTCTGAAATACCAGAGCTAGGGCTAGACCTTTGCTTCTATTATGGAAGCAATTTATTTTTACAGCTTACCTGGAGGGGTGAAAAGAAATAACAAGCATTTCTTTCCCTTTTTTTTTTCTGCTCACTAAAACCTGTTCCTTTCAATCTTAAAGCAAACAAGGAGTCTCTGTTGTTAAACAGTGAGAGACACTCTCGGTGTTAATTATTAAAGTGTAAATTGTCAGGGATTCAAACAGAATTTTAAAACCTAGCTCTCTTGGGGAATCTTTCCTGTTCTGCTGTTTTGTCCTTTAGTTCATTTTGAATTCCTGACTATTATCACTTTATTGGAAAAATCTAACTGATCTGATTCTCCGAATTGGAGAATTGAATTGCTGATACACTTGTTTTTTTTAAATTTATTATTTATTATTTTTTGTTGTTTTGGTGTGTGTGAAAATTGCCTTTTGTTACACCAGGAGCCTGGTTACACGATTCTAATTTTGTTGCAAAAAGTAGATTTTTATTTATTTTTATTTTTTATTTTTATATAAATGTGTAAAGATGTGCTTGTAAAGGCGTTAAAAATAAATTGCATGAATTAGTAAGGCGTGTAAAAAAAGTGTTCAGTGTAAAAGGTTTAAAAAAAAAAAAAAAAAAGTAACACTTTTTTTATTTAATGCATTATGACTTGGTTGCCATTTAACAAAATAAGTTAGCAGAGCTAAATTTTATTCTGCAACAGTTTTATAAAGGCCTACTGATTTATCCACTAAACACCGCCTTTCTCCAAGTAGTGATGTTGAAAAACAGCTTTTGTGGGTCGGGAATAAAATACGTAAAATGAAGCTCTAGCTCTGTTTCGTAATTTAATATAGGGTGTAGTATATCGTAAAGGTTCTGTACACGTATACCTTTATTTTGGGTGGAGGCATTGCCAGGTGTGTATGTTCTGTGTAATTAAAAATGCAAAGAACGCTAAACTAGTTAATTTCACAGGATTAGACCAAACTTCCCCCAGCCCGTCTAGTATTTAATAAGGAGTTTTAACTGTCTCTTAGCAAATGTGCTAGTTCTGAAATGGTGTGAAATATGAGTGCTGGCAGTACCACCTCTAAAATAGACATTCTGCATGAGCAAACAAAAGGATCTGAAGTGTGATCTACTCCCCATTGTTCTGCTGTTTTTTCAATTCAGGCTTCCTGCTTTGTTTTAATTCCTCCTGCCTCTGAGTTCTTTGCATGTGATTATAGCTACCGCCCACCCAGCCTTCCAGATAAACTACTGCCATCTGTCCTGTTTGTCTGACCAGTCAACTGATATCGCCATTAATCTCCTCTAACTGTTCTAACAACCCAGCTGCTGAACAAAAAGTGGTATTTTTTCCGAATCTAGAACAGTGCGAGTAAACTTTCTATTCCATTGATTATGGGGATGTAGTATATGCACCTGCATCGCAATCCCACATTAATAAAATCAACACATTGTATAACTCGTTCTGCCGATTTGTGCTACAGTGGAATTACAGGACCCACCATTGTGACATGCTAAAAGAACTAAACTGACTGTTGCTGGAATCCAGACACCCCCTTCATCTTTCCAGCCTTGTGTTTAAGAGCTTTTCAGGCAAGCTCCCACCCTACCTGAGCAGAATGTTCTCCTCAGCTGTTCCCACCTCCGATCCAGTACCAGCACTTTACTTAGTCTAACTCAATACAAAAAGAAAGCAGCCCGATCCTCCTTCTCCTACAGAGCACCGCAATTGTGGAACGACCTCCCGCACAATTTAAAATCTTCCCTAAGCCTAAAGTCCTTTAAGAGATCCCTCTCTACATACCTCAAAACTGAATGCACCTGTCATGGTTGATTATATATTTCCTCCCTGCTCTGTTATGTTTTGTATATATTGTGTAGTTTTGTGAACCCAGGACATAATTTAAAAACAAGAGAAATCTCAATGTATCTTTCCTGGTAAAATATTTTATAAATAAATATTCTGATCATTTTAAAACTTACTCCAACCCTTTATTATTGTTGGTTTAATTTTCTTAATTACCTAATTGACTGATCCTCAGTTAAGAGGTGTCGTTCCTTCCCCCCACCGAATTAAAATGAAAATTCTATAAAATAAAATTGAAAATGAACATGAAACTGCTACCCATCCGACATCTGGCTGCATCAGTCCTTCCCTGTCTGTGGCTAATCAAATGTTCTCATAGAGATTACCATAATTTCACTGGCTAAAGGGACACTATAGGCACTCAGACCAGACTTCCATCTCATTGAAGTGGTCTGGGTACAGTTTCCCTATTGTTTACATTGCAGCACTAAATCAGCCACTTGAGGGCTTCCTGGATTGAAACGGACCATTGGTCTGGTATCTGACGCTGAATGTTCTCACGCTGTGCATGAGTACCTCCAGCGTCAGATTTTTCCCCATAGGAAAGTGTTGATTCAGTGCTTTGGTACGGGGAGGCCTAATGCACATACGGCACTTGTGGGGGGAGGGCAGAGGGAGTGCTAGTGCCAGGAATACAGCTTTGTATTTCTGGCATTATAGTATCCCTTTAAGAATGTGGCACATACAGACTCCTATCACCATAACCGCTAAAATTATCATGATGGTTGGAGTAACAGTTGGTTACAATTTCATGTTTTTTTTTTTCTCACTATATTCGAGACCCTGTCCTACCTGCTTTACATCCCGGGTAAATCGTTAGATTCCCAGTTTGAAAGAAATGTTTGTGCACAAGTTTAAGTCTAAGCTCAGTTACACAGCATAGCACTCCACCCTGTCTATCCTCCAAACTTGTCTCCATTGCCTGCGCTAAGTCATTTTCACTTTCCATTTTATGAATACCAGATGTCATACTTTAAATACTGCATACCTCACGCTTGCTTGAGCAGGGTGCTCTTGTTCCTGCTTGTTAAACTTTATTTGTCACTCCTGTACAGTGCTATGGCATGTGGTTATCTTTTATATATATATATATAATATATATATTTCTCACTTAATCTTTACCCCTTTTAATAACCACATGATGGTCTCGGATTTTCCTACTATCAATTATGTTGCACTCCCTTTTTGGGGCAGTAGGGGAGCATGCTCTGCTATACTGGCTGAACTTATACAGTACATCTGCTAGGAATTTTGCTGCAGGCTATTGGCATAATAAAAGCACGGCGTTCCTGAGTCTCAGAGGAGTATGGAATGTCGTTTAAAAAAAACAAAAAAACTGACTCTCTAAGTCTATCTATTTTAAGGTTTTACTTTGTGAGCAATCATCATGTTTTAGTATTTAAAGTCTAATGATATTTTCTGTCTGATCTTTGTCTATCACAGAGGATCACCAAGAAGTTATCCAGCTGTATCCGGTCTCTCCAGATTCGCTATATCACAACAGATGATGTGGTCACCAGCGAAGACGACGATGCCAATGGCCTCTGTATAGCCTTGGAAGCGGTTTTCATTCATGGACTGAAACCCAAGTACATTAAACGAGGTGGCAGAAACAGAGGCACCCACATACCCATACCCCAGCCAGCTTTCTGGGCCCTTTTAAAGGGCATCACACATCGGTCAGTCAATATACCTTTTCCCTTAGAGTTGTCTAAAAGAAGTGGTAATTATTTTTCTTCTAGAATTTGGAAGTCACTGATGTTAGACACGCGAGAGAGCTAAATCATAGACAAAAGACTCTGTTGGCAAGAGCTGTTATACAGTCATTAAATGGTTTTAAAATTTGATGTATATATTCCGTTATCTAGATACAAATCAAGTGATCTTTATATATGATTGTAATGCTAGTATTTTGTAATGTTCAGTGCAGATCTTTCCTCTGTTTATTACAGATAATGCCTCATTGTCAGAAATGTCATTTTTAAAGATAAGCGCTTAGTTTTTTTCTTTCTGTGCATTTGATAAGATGCGCTTGTTTTTCTTGGGGGGGGGTTTGACAATTTTTTTTTTTTTTTTTTTATTTTCATCATTGCTAATAAGACAGTGTGGTTTATTTTGAAATAGTGAAATAGAAGCATTTTACATACAGTTATTAAGTTAACCAGTAGCTTTGCATATCCACTTCCAAAATGTAAGCCCTCATTCCTGTGTGCGCTGTGAGTGCTGTTTTCTACTCTGGAATCATTGCCATCTCCATGCGTGTTGGCTGGAGGTGATAAGATGCATTCTAATGTAGTTTTCTTTGTTACAAGATAAATCTTGCTGAGATCACAGTAATGACTGCTACATTTTAAATCTCCCCCACCACTTTTCATATTTCACCTCTAGAATTATTTTAAAGGAAATATCTGTTAGGAATGCAAACATGTATCCTATTGACCTATTTGGATTAAGGGCACCCACCCCCCCTATTGACCTATTTGGATTAAGGGCCCCCACCCCCCCACAGACGTAAGCAAATAAGATTTATTTTCTTGCTTTATTAGCTAGTTTGGCCGCAGCTCTTAATCTCTCTGATTCTTCACTAAAGTGAAAATTTACAGTGAATTAAGTCAAGGTAATAGCTATCTCTCCGTAAAATGTTAAATTCACTTTGAATTCTCACCTTAGTGAACAACCTCATTCGATAAACCTCCCTCTCCCCTGCTTTTATATCTCTGTGCAGGTGCATACTTCACTTGTTAACTCTAGTCCAAAAGTATCTGAAAATACTATCTGTTAGGTTTCATCCATGAACACGCAAGAAAGTCAGTGTAGGAAGAACTAGTGTTTGAAAAATATGGTATAGGTTCAATGCTGCTTTCTTCTGACAAGTTCTGTATTAAGCGCACCATTTTTTTAAGGGAGCCATAACACCAAGCACAAAGCCACTGGCCGGTCACCCTCCTAGTTTGAGTAGTCAAACCATTTAAGAACAGTTTGACAATCTTCCTGGGTTCTGCTTGTTGCCGTCTCCTCCTCTGGAGCCTTGCTCGTTGGCTGAGAGCATCGGCTGAGACCTGCACGATTGGACTAAGTTCATTGCGGCAGTGGATGAGGTTGGCCCAGGTTCGTTATCAAACCATACTTAAACAGTTTGACTAATAACACTGGGAGGGCATCAGGGCATCCCTACCACCATAACAACTGCAGTGGGATGTTGTAGTTATTGAGATTGGCGTTTTCCTTTACGTAAATGTATTGGTAATTATTGTGTCACCTAATGGTAATTACGCTTTCACTTAAGAAGTTCTAATAGAAGTTACGTTTTTAAGCATAAACAGCCATATTGAAAGAAAATAAAAACCGTTTTCCATTTAGCTACTAAACTAAAATTTGACATTATTTACATCCCCCCACTCCCCCATAGTACAGTCTATAGTGAATAACTCTGATTTGGGAGTGCCATTTACAGAAATTGTGAATGACAAGGTCACCTTCAATGTAATCCAAATACTGTTCTAATGAAAAAAATGTAGGTCACATTATATGCAATACCTGACATTTGCTTCTTGGTCTGAGATTGAGCTGCAAGTGTTGTAAGGTGTGTGCTTGCATGTACCTCTAGAGCAAGGGCTTAGAACAGTTATAGATCTCTTTTGTAGTCCCAAATGTTTTGCCAATGATGCTGCCTGAGCATCGTGGGAAATGCAGTTCAGCAATATGTGGAGTTCAAAGGTTAGCAGTCACTAACGTAGATAAGTATGTGTGTTTGCCTTCGCTGTGTGAGATTGTCAAATGTTAGCATGTCTCTTGCATGATCATCCACTTTAGGTTCAACTATTTGTGCAATCAACTTCTTTCACTTCCCAAATAATCTTTTTTGTTTTTTGTCACTGAAGATAATTTTGTTTTCCTGTTCAAATTAACACTATAGGATCAGGAATGCAAACGTTTGTGTGGCTGTTTAGGTGACTGGCCCCTCTCCGATTGCGCTGAAAAGGTGACTCTACGTAGCTGGCTCTGCCTCCATAGCTGAGATCGTCAATCTTTATGATCTCAGCCAATACAATGCTTTTCCGTAGGAAAACATTGGGAGGCTGCACCATCTCCTCATAATAATGCATTTAATCATTGCATCTCTATGAGGAACGTTCAGTGTGTCCCCACGACTGAACACCAGTAATGCCCTAAGATAGGGAGCACCTCTAGCGGCCATATGAGTGACTGCCACTGCCTTTTCTCTGAAGTGTTTACATTGAAAATCCTGCAGTGACAGACTATCGACACCAGAACTAGTGTTTCTGGTGACTATAGTGTCCATTTATGGTTCATTCCAAACACCATAACCACTACACACTTGTAGTTATGGTGCTATTAGGCAGTACATGCAACCAAACCGTTTGTTTGTTTTTTTTTAAACATGGTTTTGTAGTGACTTGTCTCCATTGACTTTCTCCTATATCCTTGATGTGTTTGCAACATTTCTATTGCAAGCCTAAATTTTAATCTCAATGCCATCTGTTTTCCTTTTCTGCAGCAATGTTATTAAGGAAATTGAAAATGTGCCTTTTCTGAGCACCGATGTGGGTAGGTGTCGCTCGTGGCTACGTATCGCTCTCAATGAAGGTCTTGTGGAATGCTATTTCATCACATTGCGAAGAGAGAAGAGTCGGCTGATGGACTTTTACCAACCATGCGCTTTGCTGTTGGATGCCGAAGATTGTGATGTGGTGCTGAGTTACCTGCAGGGTTTATCTGCTTTGCCTTTCAAGCTGTCCTATAAATCCGCTCTTCTATGTGAGTGGACAACCACCCCGCTTATTTTATCTGGACTCTGGGTAGAAGATGTCCAACATGTGGAAGAAACTCCAGAGTCTCTCAATAGGCGAAAATCTTTGGATTCCATGTCTCAGTCATCCAGCTCTGATGATACCAACAGTTCCATGCTACAGCAAAGTAAGGAGACCAATGAATCTTCTTCGATCAATATGGACACCAACAGTTCGTCATCTCAACTGTCCTCCAGCGCTGGCTCTGACGGACAAGTCAACGAACAAGCAGGCACAACTCCTGTAGAACCTAGGAGTCCAGAACTCTCCTCCTGTGAAGCAGACACAACAGAGACAGAAGAGTCCCAAAAATCTCAGTCAGAGTGAGTTTGTAACTTGATCATTTTTATTTGTATTTCTTATACACAGGCCATGCTACCCAGTGCTTGAATTAGCATTATTAGCTTTTATTTATCAACCATTCCTCTCTGGCTGTGCAAAGAATTTAATAACTGTATGCAAGAAATGAACGCACAATGCATTGTTAAACCTGCAATACAGTGACTTGCTGGCCTCACTGTCCATCTTCTAATGATATAATGTATTATATATTTTTTATGGAAAAACAAGCTTATTTATAAGCACATGATGCTGCTGTTTGAATGACAGAGCCGCTTACTCATTAGTTAACTTCTCATCAAAGCCAGATGTATTTTTATTATTACAGAAATTATTGCACTTAAAAAGTACACTGTCGTCAAAAAAAAACTTATTTATTTTTTTCCGAATTGTTGTAGTCATTTATATCAATTTAAAGATCATATTTGGTACAACCTTAACACTCTTATGTATTGCAATTATTCTTTTTTTCTATGTTTGCTTTTCTGAAAAGTGCCATTCTGAATGGTGACAAATGACACACATTTTAGTAATTATGCAATTTTATTCCTCGGTAGAGGACTGGGGCAAGAGTAGTCCAGGCACCATAACCACTCCAGCGTGCTTTAGTTTTTATAGTGCAGTGGAGTGTCTCTTTAACTGAAATGTTGCTTTTTAAAGGGAAACTATAAGCAACACAACCACTGTTTACAGCTTGGTGTAGTGGTTATGTCCCCTACATTCTCTGAATGTCATTCTGCTTTTATATCAAACCATTGCGAGGTGGTTTGTCTCCCTGTCCTCTGCTGCCTTGATAATGTGGTATAACACTTTCTCATTATCCACATATTGATTTTCATATAGTGAAGTGTCCGAGGGACAGGGGAGTATTTTTCTGATACCACGGAGAGCTGTGGTTTTGTGAAACCACTTCTAAAATCTTGAAACTTGATTCTTTAAAACTTCAGACTTGATTTTTACAGGGTTATTTAATAATGTGGGAATTCAAAGTGAGTTTCAAATATACAGCCAAGGTAACCAAGCGGAGTACAAAATTGACTTGAACAGTTTAGTTTTTTTGTTTTTTTTTCTGAAACCGCTATTTTGACATATACAATTTTTAGATCAACTTTGAATTCACTGTGAAAATTCTTATTTTAATGTATAACCCTGTTACTATTTTATTATTTGAGATTAAGCTCTACTAAAGCACATCTGTTGGTAAAGCAGCAGTATATAACCGAATACAAAAACAACTCAGCCGGGATATGTAAAATATTATGAGAAAAATTGAATGTGCTAATATTGCATAATATTACAGTAACTTGTCATGGTCATGTACATGGTGAGAACTTCCCTTTTCATAAACCTAATACGACTTCTTAGTTTGTAGTTTTAAAAGAATATATATTATTTATAAGTGTGTGTATATATGTGTGTGTATGTATGTATATGTGTGTGTGTATACATACATACATACAACACTGTACCTTGCACTCAAACTCCAATTCCCAGACCGGGTGCACTCCCAGGGCTCCAAATATCCAGCTGATTATATCAAAAGGTTGCACTCACGGATTTAGTAAAAAATAACTTTTATTCAGTATTCTTAAAAAAAATCGACGTTTCAGTCCTACTTGAGGACTTTCATCAGGATTATATGAACCATTTAATATAAAGTTCATATAATCTTGATGAAAGTCCTCAAGTAGGACTCAAACGTCGATTTCTTTTTTTTTATTTTTTTAGAATACTGAATAAGTTATTTTTTACTGAATCTGTGAGTGCAACATTTTGATATAATCAGATATATATTATAATTGTATTTATTTTTTTGCAATGCTTAAACACAATTTTTCATTTCGATTCTAGTATCTCCTCCTCCTATATTATTATTATTATTATTATTATTATTATTATTATTATTGCAATTTATTTATATAGAATGTGCCCTAGGTGGTCCAGGACTGAATTGGATTGTGGCACAATTTACTAAATCATTACATCTGAAATGTAGTCTAGAATTATCCTTTCTACAGTTAGAGGTGTGAGTTTGCCTTAAAAGGACACTGTAGGCACTTAAAACTTTGCAAAGGAATAGTAGTTTCCAACTTTAAAGGGACAATATAGTCACCAAAACAACTTTTACTTAAGGAAGCAGTGTTACTGTATATATCATGATCCTGTAGTCTCACTGTTCAGTTATCTGCCATTTAGGAGTTAACTCAGTTTGTTTCTGAACCCTAGTCACACCTCCCTGCATGTGACTTACACAGCCTTCCTAAACACTTCCTGTAAAGTCATCTAATGTTTACACTTCCTTTATTGCAAATTCTGTTTAATTTAAAATGTCTTACCTCCTGCTGTTAATAGCCCACTAGACCCTGCAGGAGCCTTCTGTATGTAGTTATAGTTCAATTTACAGAGCAAAACATATAAAGAAAGTCTAAGATCTTATTGACAAAGAAATCATTTTTCATGCAGGCTGTGTCAGTCACTGACAGGGGAGGTGAGGCTAGGGCTGCATAAACAGAAACGAAAAGGAACTTACCTCCTAAATGGCAGAGAATTGAGCAGTGAGACTACAGTGGCATGATCTAATAATGCAAAAAGCTGCAGAATACGTTTGTGCTATATAAATGCCAGTAGTAATAATATACACCAAAATTGCTTTATTAAGTGTCTATAACAGATGTTCAAAAATAAAGCTATGCTGCACACAGGACACAAAATTGTAGAAGGGAGTAGCAGGGCTACAACATCGGGACAATATGACAAAGACCCACAAAAGGTTGTTAGGAGAAGCAACACAGTCATCACAAAGTTACTTTATTGGATCATATGAAAAAGGGACACGGACAAGGACATTCGCTTCACTTACTGAGTACCAAGAAGGTCAAAACACTGGTGGGTTTGCTGTTTTTAGACCCAAAGGAGACCAACCTGCTTTTTGGATTTAGACTGCCCTTGCAAATAGAATGGCATCAGTAATATGCAAATGTTAAACATACTTTCTACCTCTCCCTTTTTTTGACCCGAGCTTACATTGTCTGTGTTAGTGTTCTTTTAGATTATGCAACCTATTCCTTTTGCCAGCAACAAAGTCAGTGCGTCATTTCTCCACTGCTAGAATTCCTGTATTTGTTCAAAGATTACAAGCAATGCTGTGACGTTATCAGAATAACCCATATTGGATGTCAGGGAGCCAGCATGCTCCGTACAGTGGATTTCATTGTACATTGGGAGAAAACAAAAGTGATCAAAGGCTCAATGAGTGGGGTAAATGTAAGGGGCGGGGGGATCTTTTTAAATACTTTTTTCAAATATGTCTCTATTTTCTATGGCAAATGTAAAACCAAACTAAAACTTATTATTATTATTATTATTATTATTATTATTATTATTATTATTATTATTATTATTATTATTTATATAGCGCCATCAGATTCGGTAGTGCTGTACAATGGGTATACAAGTGTAGCTTGTATTGTTCAAAGATGGTTTTAGAATTTATACCAGTGATTAATATATTAGGTAAAAGGTTGTCAAGACAGACTTTAACATGCAAACAATGTAATGTTTCTCTTTCTCTTCCAAAGGGATGTTGATCTTTTTTCCCCGGGATCCGATAAAGCTTTTTTTAGTCCCATACTAAGCAGTTCCTTCCATGAAACCATCCGAATCGGCACGGAGAAGTTGAAATCACTTTATCAGAAATGTGAAAGCAAAATTGCGGAGAACAAAAATCCTCAGTCAACTACTTCATTAAAGCCAGAGCCTGAAAATCCACTTACATGTGCTAATGAAACGCCTTCGACTTGTGAAACCTCTGCATTGAAAGCCCTGCCCACCAAACCCCTCCGTGATCCCATCAGCGTTTCTAGTGAGGCGGTCTGTAACTATGGAAAGAGCTTGCTACTCGAACCTGAGCCTTGTCCTTTTGTTGCTGAAATCCCAGTGAGTACCGGATTTTTCATGAGTCAGCTACCATAAATATTTTAAAGGAACACTCAAAGCACCATAACCACTGCTGTTCGATGTAGTGGTTATTGTGCCAGGGCTTCCCTGGCGCACTCCTCCTTTTGTAGGGAAACAATACTTTTTTGGAGTGGTTTGATTTCTAACCTGTGATCTTCTGGGTGCTGCTCTCCGTTTAGAGCTAAACCTGGTGTTGCAGGACAATCAGCTGATGCTCTCAGACACTGAGCAATCCTACAAAAGCTCCTCAGCAGCAGGTTCCGGCTCTCCTGGTTGCTCAGAGAAGGCGGCGAGAGGTGCTAGGGAGACCTTCAGTAAGAAGCCAAGCGTTCTAAGACTGTATGACTAATATTCACCACAGCATGCAGTAATGGTTATGGCACTTGGAGTGTTCTAACATGCAACTTTCTTCGAGATTTATATGCAAGTGTTGTGTAGAGGTAAAGCAAAAATCCTTTTTGTAGTGCAAAAGCTTTTTATTTTTGAGAGTGTGCGCCCAAATGTCACTGTTCTTGCAGGAGTGCATTGAGTCTTTAATCTCATGAACATTTAAGAGATTATACTTTTCATCTATTTACGCTATAGTAAGTTTAACGTTAAATGTTACCGTTCAGTATAGAGGGTTATTTTTAAACCCTTTAAACTGAAGTTACCTTGATCGTGAGGCTCAAAGATGATTACTCAGAAATAGTATGCAACCAGCAGCCATTCAGAACCCGAGTGTTCCTCAGTTGAGCTGATTAGCTCCTAAGCGACTTATTGCAAGAGCGTTTCAATAAATTACATGTTAAAGCTTGTCCTTGAACATAAGAAGCAGAACTTTTCTCTTGGTTAGAAGCTGCATCTGGTTTATGCTTTGTTTTTGTTTTATTTAAAAGTCTTTCTTTACTTGTCCCCAGAAAAGCGTTAGTTGGATTACAGAAGATGACTTGGATATACCAGTGGTAGACCTGGCTATTAAGCTCTCAGATCAAGAGAATCATCAGCTCAGAGCAGCCTTCGAAGTCATTCACAGACGGCGACCAGGTACGGGAAATATCAAATAGTGGATTTTTATTTTTATTTTTTAATCTGAACTGAGCTATTCATGATTAGTACAAATGGAATTCTGCTGATAATTTGCACAATGTGTGTTAAATATGCACTTTTTTCTACAGGTGTCCCTAACCCTTTCCAAGGTCTTATGATGATGGGTTACCTGGAACGTAGGAATGCCTTGGGTTTGTACAAGAGTTTCCATTGTGAGCTAACGGTCTACGAACTTCGGATCTTTATTAGTGAAGAGGAGAGGCTATGCTTAGAAAACTGTACCCTGCTAAAGTGTGAATCAGTGGGACCCGCCCAAAGCGATGGGAGATTTGAGTTGCATTTTCCTGGTAGAAAGTTATGCTTGCGGGCTTCTTCGCAAGACGAGGCACAGGACTGGGTGGAAAGGATTGAAGAAGCTATACACATATTGCGACCCAACAAAGATGAGATTTGGGAGGTTTTAAAAAGACCAGATTCCCCAGATCTCCCAAAAAGCAGAACATCTTCCACTGATGAAAGTCTACCTTCATCTGAGGTGTTTAATTGGATTTCTCCATTTGAAGTGGAGCTAGATGCACAGAAAGAGGCTATTCTTTACATGAAAATCCAAAAAAGGTGGACACAGTTCATTTTTTCTTTATCCGAGCGAGTCTTGCGGTGCTTTATACCCAAACCCTCAGAGAAAGCGTTATTTGAATCTTATAGCATTGAGATGATTAAAGATGTTCTTCCAGATGCCAGCTTGGGTAGTGCATCCTGCTTTCGACTTGTGACCTCCAAAGGTACCCTGCAGCTCCAAGCCGAGAGTCCCCTAGAGGCCAGGACTTGGAGAGAGCTTGTGCGAGCAGCCTATCTTGAATGGGAAGAAGACTCTGCCTTCGTACCTGGGGATGGAAACTTTCATATAAAATCGAACATCAGGGAACATCACCTTTTCCAGTACTTGATGTACATTCCAATTGAGAGGGGTCTGGATGCCCAGGACTTCAAATGTGCAGGTCAGTAAACCCTCTGACGTATCAGGTCATGTAAAACGGAGCCTGAAAATTTGTCAAAGTTGGCTATTTTCCCCCTAAAACTGACGATTATCTTGTTATACCATCTTTTTTTTATTTTTAAGTGTTTTTTTTTTTCTCCAATTTTTTGTGATGTATAGGAGTTGACTAATTATTTTCCATTGTAAATTTATTTTTTGTTTCCACTCCCTGCAGGTTGCCAAAGAAAGATTGGTTTTCAGTTTGGAAAGGCAAAGCTTTGTGAGTTTTCGAGTCTTTATTATTGTGCGTCTTGTCATCATGATCAACTGACCATCATTCCGTCTAGGATTGTGCATAACTGGGATCACACGGAACGACCGGTAGGTGGCTCTTATTCCTGTATTGACTGACTTCTACTACCATCATGACACATGATGTCCTGCTGCTGGAAATGAATTCTGCTAATTTTCTGGCCTCAATAGAATAATTTAGGCTATTAAAATACTTTTTGATAATGTCTTAAAAATGTTATAAAATGATTTCTTGAACATTTTCCTGTAATGTTCTATTGTATTTTTATTTCATATTTTCATGTTTTGTAACCAAGACGGGCCTCGAAATTAATCAAATATATTTTTTTGTCCTGTATGCTGCAAACACATGGTGTGATCTCCAAGACTTAAAAACACAATTTAAAATGTGCTATGCAAAAAAGCTAAAATGGAGAAATTACTTGACCGGAACTATTTAAATGGAAGTTTGTTTCTTAACAACGTCTTTCTAAATGCTGTTTTTGTTTCTTGGAAAGATGAACATATACGAAGAAACATATATTCGCTACATGTCAAATTAGGGATTATTCTAGCCTCGGTGAGGGAATAATCTAAATGTTATTAAAGACAGGAGGCGAATATTTGCTCTACCTTCTTTACTGAAAACTAGCAAAGAAACGGTTAACAGAACTTTTCAAAACAACCAATCAGAACAAAACAGGCATCAGTATAAAACCAGTGAGACAGACCTTCCCACTTCCTCTTTCTTTGAGGTCGAGCAGGAGAGCATGAAGACCAAACGAAAACTGTATCCGGCAAACTCAGATGAGAAACCGCCATATCCAGAACAATTTAGATCACACTGTAAAAGAAAAGAAAACATTGTGAAAGTAAACTGCCATAGCAGAATGTCACACCATACACAATCAGCGCATTAGTAGACCGCAATCTGATAAATAAATGTACACTGATCACCAATTGTAGTAACAAAATGTGTTTATTAAAGGACCACTCTAGGCACCCAGACCACTTCAGCTTAATGAAGTGGTCTGGGTGCCAGGTCCTTCTAGGGTTAACCCATTTTTTCATAATTATAGCAGTTTCAGAGAAACTGCTATAATTATGAATGGGTTAAGCCTTCCCCCTAATCCTCTAGTGGCTGTCTCATTGACAGCCACTAGAGGCGCTTGCGTGCTTCTCACTGTGATTTTCACAGTGAGAGCACGCCAGCGTCCATAGGAAAGCATTGTAAATGCTTTCCTATGCGACGGGCTGAATGCCGCGCGTGCGCATTCAGCCGGCGGGGCGGAGGAGGCGGAGGAGGAGAGCTCTCCGCCCAGCGCTGGAAAAAGGTAAGTTTTACCCCTTTCCCCCTTCCAGAGCCGGGCGGGAGGGGGACCCTGAGGGTGGGGGCACCCTCAGGGCACTATAGTGCCAGGAAAACGAGTATGTTTTCCTGGCACTATAGTGGTCCTTTAAGAGAAATTTGTGCCATACATAAAAGCGCATACGATCGAAACCCAATTAACATAAAGGCAAAAACAAATCCAATTCCAGGGTGCACATATCGGGAACAGCGGTCAGTAGCGCCTTCGCCGGGTGATGCGGAGCCTGATCCGCCGGCCCTGTATTCATCCAGGAGTGCCCCTTCTTCAGGGCGGCCACCTGATCCGGTGCCCAGTCTAGCCAGTTTGGCAGGCATCTTGCCCTTGTCAGTGGGGGCGCAGGGGCCCATCCAAGGCCTCTTTTGCAACGAGCCCAAGTCGGCGGAGCGTAGGGAGTCGTCAGCCATGATTGTACCTTTCCTCTATTTCAGTAAATACTATCAGCGTGGTACCTAAATAGGGCAGGCTGGGGGTCATCCAGCATGCAAGAGGGGGTCACCCAACAAGCACTAGCATATAATGCAATCGGTGGGGTCGCCCTCAGTCTTATGCCCAGGACCCTGGTAGTCTGGCCAGCAGGGAGGGGGTCACTCAGCCCATAACAGTGCTACAGCACAGTAGTATAGCCCAGTATAGGGCAGTTTAGGCAGGGATCGTGTCCCAATGATACAGGAAAAATGGGGGTCACCCCTAATGTGGCAGGGCAGTGCAATCCACTTGTTTGACAATCCACCTGTTATGGGGAAAAAATACACAACTGCAGCACACAGAAAAAACATTAACACAGCAGTGCAGGAAACTGTAAATGCCCCTGGGAGGAAACCACTAACAGGCAGTCTGCACACTCCTGCCAGCCGTGGCCACAGCTACCGGGGGCACAGAGACCGGCATGGCCACATGGCCAGAAGCAGAGGGGCCGAGGGAGACAGAGGTCCGGGCGTCGGGAGCGCCCGGAGACCACGCGGCTCCGGCAAAATGGCGGCCGCAAATTGAGCGCGGCCTACCTCGCGAGAGGGGAGATGCAGCCTTAGAAGCGGTCGGGGACCGCGTGAGAGCGGCAGGGGATGAGAGGAGAGGGTGAGTGAGGCGGGAACCCGGGAGGGCACCGCCGGACTGAACCGCGAGAGAGGCGGCTGGAGGAAAAACCCCAGGGGGGGACCCAGATCAAGGGAGCAGGTAGGAGAGGCATCCCCCAAACACCCTGAACCCCGAGATGGGTCAGAAGGTATTACCCCAAACAGTACAAGGCACAGAAAAACTATTAGCCAAAAATACTGAGCAATAACACAGCAATGCAGATACATATAAAGAAATTACAACCCAGAGCAGAGACAACTCTGAGTTGGTGAGTGCTCACCTGGAGGCAGCAGCAAAGAAAGAGGAAGTGGGGGAGGGTCTGTCTCAGTGGTTTTATATGGATGCCTGTTTTGTTCTGATTGGTTGTTTTGAAAAGTTCTGTAAACTGTTTCTTTGCTGCTGGAGGTTTTCAGTAAAGAAGGTAAAGCAAATATGAAGCCTCCTGTCCTGACATAAAATTTGCTACCACAAGCTCAGCTACTTTCATTTGACTCCAATCTGTACCGTTCGTTGATAACATTTCCCTAAAGTTTACTGGATTCACGATCAACAAATGCTTAATTAGGTCAATTGAATCTGCTATTGTAGATCATTCAAATTGAAACTGAATGGCAGCTGAATTTACTTCCCCAAAACTGACCTTGGAGAAGAATATGGTTTGCAGGGATTTTGGGATCGGTTATTGGGTGTATCATAATAGATCTTGGTTATATGCACAATTCTACAGCTTTCAGTTAGAATCAACCAGAAGTAAGGAATTCCATTGCATTTTGAGTATTTGCGATTAATTGACTCGGTCAAGTTCTGCGGGGATTTGGCTGATTTTTAACACCTAACCAAGCGGAAGCACAGTTTAGGTAGAAATACCCAAATTTGCATTTTCTGAATAGCTCAATGTGCAACATTTGTGACATCGCTGCATACAACTGCTGTATTCAGCATTTGGTAATTTAGTAAAACATTTTTTAACCTTGGTAACATAGAATGTGACAGCAGATGAAAACCATCTGCCGTTCTAGTCTGCCCAATTTTCTAAATACTTTCATTAGTTCCAGGCCTTATCTTATAGTTAGGATAGCCTTATGCCTATCTCACGCATGCTTAAACTCCTTCACTGTGTTAACCTCTACCACTTCAGCTGGAAGGCTATTACATGCATCCACTACCCTCTCAGTAAAGTAATACTTCCTGATATTTATTGTTAAACCTTTGAACCTCTAATTTAAGACCATGTCCTCTTTTTTTTCTTCTTTTCTATATAGTCTCCTCCTTTACTGTGGAGAGATGTGACTTTCTAGTAAAACTTGGTTGTGGGGGGAAAAAAATACAACTAAATAGTAGTACTTCTAATTTAGACAAGGTTTTCAGATTTAGAGTTCGATATATTGTCGCCATTCTTCTCCTCTATTCCAGACTATCGTTCACATTATTGTGAAGATAATATATATTGTGTGTGTTTTAGTTGAGAGATTTTTCTTGAACTGTGGGGATTATATTGCTTTGTGTCTTAATAAAGAGAAGACGAGACTGAAAGCATTCTTATACCTTCTTAATGTGTCTTTTGGTTTGTTTTTGTTTTTTCCCAGGTATCCGTACAAGCAATGAACTTCCTGAGTATGGTGGAAAATGAGCCCCTATTTAACGTGCAGTACTTAAACGAGCAGCTCTATAGCCACACGGGGGTTATGCATGAGCTGAAATACGACAGAGAGCGGCTACGGCTGTTAGCGGAGTTTCTGATAACTTGTCGCAGTGGCGCGATAGACCATCTGAACAAGAGGTGAGAGATTTGCCTTATTCTGTATATTGACCTTCATGAGTGCTTGTGAAAATAGGAATATAAAGTGATAGCACAAGTGAGGAGAACAGTTAGATTGTCCAGGATGGATATTATCTCACAGGATGACTTAACATTAGTCTCTTGTCTCTGTTTTGGTAGACTTTGATTCATCATATGTTTTGATCTTCAAAAGCAAGTAAAGGGCAGATGTTTTTAAAAATGAACTTTCTAAAAGTTTGTAAAATTGTTTCGACATGGGTTAGTTCTCTTTGGTTTAAGGCAGGGGTTCCCAAACCAGAGGTCCCCCTCACCAGTCCAGGATGTAGAGATTACCCTGTTGAGGTAAGGTGTTTTTTGTCTTTTTTTTTTTTTTTGTTTTTTCGTTTTCTAAAAATACCTTAAGTCACAACTTGTTAATTTCTCAATCCTGGACTGGTGGGAGGAAGGAGGGGTGAGGACTGGCTTGGGAACCACTGCTTTAAGGGTTACTCCGACCTCCATGACTTCTTCTGCCTATAGAAGTGGTGATGGAGCATGGAATCGATATGTACAGTGCTTCTGCTTGAATCGCTGCTTACACAGATGTATCAGCAATTTTGTGCCGTTGTCTAGTCGTACCCACAACACACGTTACTTAGGCCACCCAACAATGCTTGCTATTTAATAGTGTATATATTTTTTGCAAAATCTATAATAGAGTATTTTTTTATTTTATTTATTTTTTATTTTTTTTATTTTTTTAGAGCAGAGCTCACATCTCCTGCCCCAGTCTTATTCTTGCTTATTTAACTGTGTGGTCACATAATTGCTTTTTATATAATCTAAAAAGCGTGCACAAATGCCTGCCAGCAACCGCACATTAATTCAGTTTTTTATTTTATTTTTTTTCTCCCCCTATATCCTTTTTCAGATGTATAACATTTTCACTTGTTTATACTCTGTGCTTGATCACCACCTAGTGACCATTTAATAAATTGCAGTGTTCCTTTTAGCTAGTTCCATCCTGAACAGCTGGCCTGCTTTTGAAAGATATTGCATGTGGCTGAACCACGTGCAGAAACAAGTCATACTTTGTGCATTTAGCAATCTATATTGGCAGCATTTTAAGGAACATTCTGATATTCTAGCTCTTTATTTTAATTTTTTTTATTTATTTTTTGATAGTGTTTATAGTTTTCTTTTTCTCTTTTTTTTTATAGGCTGAATCATCGGAACTACCTTTTGGACTGTATTCATACCTACAGTATGCTAGATTTGAAGCAGGTATGGTAGATTTGGGGATTTTTGTGTCATGGATAGCACTTCCTAACAAGCAGTTATTTATCTTTATATTTTTGTGGGGGTGGGAGGGTGCATGTATATTCAGAGAAAATGCAGCGTTTAGATTACAGCCTAGAGAACTCCACTGGCCACTCCTCAGATGGCTGCTAGTTGCTTCCTGTGTCAGTGCTGCACAGTGTGACTGACATTTAATGTCTCCACCCTCTGCATGCACACTGAACTTTCCTCATAGAGATGCATTGATTAAATGCTTCTCTATTAGAAGCTGCTGATTGGGCAGGGCTGTGTTTGGCTTGTGCTGGCTCTGCCCCTGATCTGCCTCCTTGACCGTCTCAGCCAATCCTATTGGGAAAGCATGGTGATTGGCTCAGAGAATCCCTTCTGATGATGTCAGTCAAGCAGGCAGATCAGGGCAGAGCCAGCAACTGCAGACTTGAACAAAATAAGATTTTACTACATATAGTGTCTCAAAAGGGTGGGCGGGACTAGATGTTGGATTTAACACCATAGGGTCAGGAATAGGTTTGTGTTCCGGTCTCTTTAGTGTTCCTTTAAAGTCCAAGTCTGACTAAAACATTTCTCGGTTAACCCTATGCGGGTACTCTTGTGCTGGCATACAGCATCTTTTCCCACTACCCTGGCCACGCAAGTATGCCTTTCATTTGATTTAAATGGGGCTTAAGAGTGGCAGTACCATTACAAATTATTGGCTTGCCTATGTCTCGGAGTGTATCAATCACCTTGGGAACCAATTGAATAATCGTGACAGTTTGTCTATTTGTTGGTGTTAAGTTTCAGGTATCTGCAACACTGTAGGTTGATAGGATCTATTTCTTCAGACCTTGCTTGGTGTACTTATGCCCATGTGAGCGGATCCTGAATGCCTTTGCCATTCTGGATTTATATATAACTCAGGATTCCATGTATTTGCAATCCAAACCTTGATATCGTTCTTTGCCTGCAGGTCACAACTGGTGTTTTTGAAAGAATCATGCAAACCGTCTTGGAGTTTGCCAGCGACCATATCTTCGAGTGCATGCTGTGCAGTCAGAAAGGTTTTATCTGCATGATCTGTAACAAGGATGAGATCATCTACCCATTCCAGCTAGAAACGACGACAAGGTCAGGCTATGAGAAAACGTATGCCGTGAAATGGCCATTATTTTTAATGGGAACGTGCACAATTTTTGTTGGTGACTTGGAGACTCGTTGTGTTTTTTTTTTTTTTGTGTGTATAGAATCTATATCTTAATGTATGCTAGTGGCAAGGATCTCTGCCCTGTTCATTTTAGAGGTGGGTTTATCTTTTCTTTTTATGGGTAAGGCCATTTCATTCTGCCTACGGCTTGTCCTGATAGAGAAAGGTCTACGGTCAACAGAAGCTTAGAAGACATTAAGACATTAAATAGAAATTACTTGGAAATTAACACAGTATGAATGTGTGCTTAACCCTTTCAAGGTGCACTCGATTTGTTGGAGAGGTTTATAATCTTTGTTGTACGTACTACCGGGCTTACAGACACCTAAGTACACTCTTTGTTTTTTCATAGGTGCGGAGACTGTAAAGCCGTATTCCACCTGTACTGCAAGACTGGTAAGAAGCCGTGTCCCCGTTGTAAGAAAAGAAAGAGCAGACAGAATCAATGTATTAAGATGTGAGTCTGGGACGGATCTTAAGGAAACATTATTATTTTTTTTCTGAGCTGAGTAGACGACATTGTTTCCCACAGTGGATCTGCTGATCTCAAGAAGCCCAAAGACACCTGGCTCGTGGTGTTGCCTGGAGGAGAGTAATCTGACTGTATTTCCCCAGATAGACATTCGGGCTACTTGTCCTCTGGTAAAGCCTGATCTTCCTATCACAATTTGCACATTAAGAAATTGTTTTTCCTTTATAATACAAAGAGGGCACGATTCCTCTTGACATATAGAAGGATTAAGAATGTCGGGCCACATTATCTCTATCTGCAACCTTTTGCCATCGACCAGATAACTGTACATGTATATGGATAGACTGTGCAGAAGCGGACTACGGAACAGTTTTTCTGCTGTTTTATTGAATTGCTGCACATGCTGATATATCAGTTTGGCAAAGGAATGTTAATGTGGAGTGCGCTACAGAGTTTCCGGAAGCTGCTAAAGTAATTTCATCTGTAATTAGAGGAAGTGATTCTTCAGTGGAAACTATTTTTAAAAAATGTTCCCCCCCGAGTCCGAGTGGGCAATTAATGGCCTCTCCTGAGGATGTTGCACATTGACAAAAATGAGTACATTGAAGTGTCAACTAAATCTAACAATTCACCTTTTCTCATGATTGGGATGGTCTGTTGCATCTCACCTCTTGCCTATGGAATGTTACATGGTCTTAGGTTCAGGAGGAACTTTTAATTTTATTTATATATATATATTTTTTTTGTTTTTTTACTTCCTCTCTACAACATAAATGGCCATGTTCTATTTGTGTATATATGTGTGTTTGTTTTTTGTTTTTCTGTAGCTAAGCAACTGTGGAATCCTCATGCATCGGGCTACTCTTGGCCAGATATTATTTTGAAGAGTGAAACCACTGTAGAGAATCTCTAGATCGATGAAGTTAGCTTTCCCATCTACTGTACTTCTCTATGGAGGTTTGCTTCCATAGTTGGCAAGACTTCCAGTAATTCAAATTGCTGGATACGGCATCCGCAAGGTTGGGTATAACTGCATAATTACAGAAACAAGGATGAGCCATAACACTGGTCAGTTATAAAAGAAGGGTTATATTAAAAAAATAAAAAAAATACTCTTTGATGTGTTTCACAATAATGGTGCCAAAATAAAATGGAGGACAATGCTACTTACTGTTGGAACCTTGGCGTTGTGTAACATTTGAGCCACAATGTCTGACGTGCTATTTCTCTATTTTGCCGTTTTTTTTCTTTTTCTAAGCAAAATGGGATTTGTTTTGTTTGTTGGTTTTTAAAGCTTGGGTGATATTCTTTCTATGGTCTTCCTTTTAATTTAACCAATCACCTCCAAGAATTGAACCCATCTCCCCCGACTGCCAGGCCATCCCTGAGCAGTTTAATGGTGAGCTGTATTCTAGCATCTACTCATGCCAAGTAACTTGTCCCTTACTTTGGAAACAAATAGAGATATATATATATATATCCCCAGGGTGAGAAGTTGGGGTTTCTAACATGACTTATTTTTATACATTTATTAAAAAACAATTAAATGTAATGTTTGTGCAGAGAGTTGACCGATTAATTGCTGCTGTTGCTATGACTGACCTTGTGCCTTTTTACTGATTAAACCCAGTGTCTGAGATAGGTGGATGTAACGGCATTGCTCTCTTATCCTTTCATCAACAAATTTATATAGATTCCGACTATAAATACTGTCCTGAGTGTTTCTTACAGTTAATATTTATTACTTGAAATGAGGTGCAAAGCAATGACTGAGTGCAAGGAGAGTCAAAAGCACCACTTTTAAGGATATATGGGTTTACTTGGGCCAGTGTGTCAATATTTTGTGTGTATATATTTTTCTGTTTTTTTTCCATTTGCTTAATTAGTGATTTCCTTTTTAATTGTGGTCTAGCCGTGGCTCCTTATGCACATTAATGCAGTGATATTTAAAATATTACTGCTCTATAGAATTTTGCTAATTTTTTTTTTTGTTTTGTTATGTTACATTGTGCTTGCTCACTACAGTATTACACATTTTCTCCCTGATTATATTTTTGAGAAAGCACTAGAGTTGTGCATTCAGAGTGCAATTGTTTTGCAGTTCGTGCATTAAGAATAGCTGATCTCAACATGCTCGGGCAGAGTATGTGTCCAGTCACTTTATGGAGTGTATCACAGAAAATTCTGTACAACAGGGTGAACCAAAATATAGATTTCCAGGTATTGCAGGACTATATTAAAGAGACGCTATAGTCACCAAAACAATTTTAACGTAATGCAGCAGTTATAGTGTATAGATCATGCCCCTGCAGTCTCACTTCCCAATGATCTGCCATTTAGGAGTTAAACTTTTATTTCAGTTTATGCAGTACTTGCCACACCTCACCTGGCTGTGACTTCACACAGCCTCCATGAAAAACATTATTTCATTTTCAATAAGATGTAACTTACTTTAGAACTTTTTATCTCCTGCTCTTCTAAATTGAACTTTAATCACATACAGGAGGCTCCTGCAGGGTCTAGCAAGCTATGAACAAAGCAAAAGAAAAGAAATTCTAAATTAAACTGACTGTGCAATAAAGGAAGTGTAAACTTTAGATGACGTTTTACAGGAAGTGTTTTGGAAGGCTGTGCAAGTCACATGCAGGGAGGTGTGACAAAGGTTCATAAACAAAGTGATTTAACTCCTAAATGGCAGAGAATTGAGCAATGAGACTGCAGGAGCATTATCTATACACCAAAACTGCTTTGTCAAGCTAAAGTTGTTTTGGTGACTGTAGTGTCCCTTTAAGGCTGGCCAAGTCTGTTGCCTAATGGATGTTGTAGTTCTGCAGAACCTGGAGATCTGTGTTTGATTCTCCCCTACTATAGTAGACTTCTAGAAACTAATTTGGATGTTTTTTTCTCCCCACCCTCAAGACTTCTTGTGATTATTGGGAATATTTTCTAGAATTAAATAATTTTCAAAAATGATGAAAGGTATTGCTTTCAGGATCTGAATAGTCCATGTACAAAAGTGGGTTTTCTTTGGTTCACTTTGACTCTAGAGTTAGAATTTGACAAGTTTAATATTCTTCCTAATATGTGCCAAAATTCAGTAAGTGTGTTTATTTTGATCATGTACATTGTAACGTTTGATCCTTTTGATTGTTAATAAAAAATGTCCAACTCCTAAATTATTCTTGCAATAAAGAACTCCTTAAAATACTTATGGTCATTTGTTTTCTTAGATGGAAAAAAATGTATCTGGAATGTTACATGCAGTTAGTACCGGTATATTTCTACTAGGAACATATTTTGTGTAGGGACTTATTTTACAGCATTGACGCACAAGCCCAAGGTCGCACAAACGTGTTCGTCCACCTACTGTAAAGCGCTGCGGAATTTGTTGGCGATATATAAATAATTGTGCCGTTAAGAGACCGCAGTGCAGTTTGTTGGATGGTGACACCGGGAGACAGGCAGCGGGTCACATGAATTCGTATTGATGATCAGCAAGTTATGAAATGTTTGCCGCATTATGTATAGGTCACTTGCTCCTACAGCAATGTACCCCTCTTCCTCTCTGAGAAACGTCAAAGCAGGGAGGGAGAAACACAATTTTAATGAGTCTGTCCTGTATATAAATGTCTGCTGGTATGTGTTCTAAGCTGTCCGTTATTGCTGCTGGTGTGCCCAGCAGGAGTCAATTTTCACACAACCTACATCTTCATTAAAAAAAAGACCTGTTTCGTGGGTTGGTGTATTGTCTTTTCAACAACGCTACTGCATGCTACAGCTGCAAGAATGGCTTTTATGAGTCTATGCGGTTTCGCTGTCACTTGGAAAGATTCACATCATTCTCTTCTGGCCCCTCTTGGTGTTTGTGACCACAGAGTTTGCCACAGTGTGTTTCATCTCCTTATTGACTGTAAAATCTAGTGAATGAATGAAACGAGAAAAAATAGTTTGGAATTTTTTTTTATTTTTATTTTTTCTGCAACGCTTAGAACACTCGGTCTTGCAATCAAACCACATGGTATATCCTGTCGAACGCCTGTTCTAACAGCTTCTCCACATGTGCATATTTGTATATGGATTTGAAACCACAAGATTCGCTGTTGGGTTACTTGCATGAACAAGCACATAATGAGTTTTATGTTAAAGATCTCTAGCATTTTAGGAGTTTTCTTTGTTTTTAGGTAAAATTTTTATTTATTTTTCAATATTTCACTGGGTTAATTTGTTTCCATTTTGCCCTATTTTCTGTAAATATAGACTGTTATTCCCTCATTTAAGAATGTAAGAAAAATTAAATTATGCAACTATAACTTAAAACTGCTTTTTAACTACAGATTTAATTCTATAGAATTTAAATGCTAGAAGACACAGAATGGTAGATATTTATTTTTTATTGTGGAGGAAAATAAAATTAATACATTTATTGTGGATGAAGTCTACTTAAAAGTAGTTAAGATAAATTATATTACAGTCCAAAGCATGAAATGGGGTTTAGTTATGTAGCATTAGACATTTATGTTTTTGGTAAATCTAATTACTCCTAGTTAATTGTACTTGTTTCTGTAGAGATAACATACCTTTTCACAGCAAAAATGTTTTAATCCCTTAAAGGACCACTCTAGGCACCCAGACCACTTCAGCTTAATGAAGTGGTCTGGGTGCCTGGTCCAGCTAGGCTTAACACTTTTTTTTTATTTTTATTTTTTTTATATAAACATAGCAGTTTCAGGGAAACTGCTATGTTTATAGATAGGTTAATCCAGCCTCTAGTGGCTGTCTCATTGACAGCCGCTAGAGGCGTTGGCGTGCTTCTCACTGTGAAAATCACCGTGAGAAGACGCAAGCGTCCATAGGATAGCATTATGAATGCTTTCCTATAAGACTGGCTGAATGTGCGCGCAGCTCCTGCCGCGCATGTGCATTTAGCCGAAGAGGAGGAGAGGAGGGGGTCTCCTGAGGGTGGGGGCTCCCTCAGGGCACTATAGTGCCAGGAAAACGAGTATGTTTTCCTGGCACTATAGTGGTCCTTTAAGGACAGAGGTAATTGTACAAGTCCTGTTCAACGTAAAATCTAGAATTTGGCAGTGTCTGCTCAACCATAATTTACCACTTTCATATTAAATGCACACTTATTATATATAATTTTGTTGAAAATAAATTATGCCAATCAAATGTTTATATATGAAACGAATATGCAAAAAAATCTAAAAAGTTTGAGAAATAAAGAAGTTTTATTTTTCAAACTCTGCAAGGCACTTTAACTGTGTTGTAATACTGCTAGCTTTTACTGCAATAAAACGTACATTTTGTTTTCAGCGATGTTGAGTACAGCAGTACACCCACATGGACAGGATTTATTAGGTTTTGGAAAGTTACAGGATCAAATATGGCACGTCCGCTTTTTATACACCTAGGTTGATTATGTTGCCTTTGAGAACATATGACAGCCCGGGAATGAAAATTACCCCATCATGGCTCACCATTTTCAAAACTCTACAACCCAGGGCGGCCATCAGAAATTTTGGGGCCCCTCTCCTTGACGATCGGCCAAATTGTAACTACTTGTGTAGAATATGTATTGTTCAAAGGTATGTTGCCTTCTTCTCTTTCACTAACATAAGATATTATATTACATAATAACTGAAATTTGCACAAGTTATGTGGCTACTGTTATGTTCGCTGACTCTGTCAAGATGAAAAAATAAAGAATTTAAAAAAAAAAAAAAAAAAGAAATTTTGGGGCCCCTGACAAAGCTCAAAGACTGGGCACCCAACGGCCTACAGGGCCTGCCCCAAGTCTTAGCACAAGGAGTGTGTGTGTTGAATGCACAGTGTGTAAAGTGGCCAAAATGTAGATCCCCATCTGTCGTACAAACCTCAGAATGCTTTGCCAGCTGGAGCTCTACTATTTTCCCATCCTTGCAGTGTTGTAATTAACACTGAGCAGTGTAAGTGTATGTGAATATTTGTGTGTAGTGTATACACTGCCACATACACCCGCCCCACACACAGAGACACAAACTGACATGCAAGCAAATACACACACTAACAATACTTGGTGTCGGGCGATGCTAGGGCTTTGGAGGCAGCATGACTGTGCAAGGTTGAGGAGATTGCTGCTACATAGATGTCTGTGCCAGGTATTTGTATTATCCACTGTCCTGTCATTATGCAGACTACGAATCTCTCAAATATGCGTTCAAGCTCTAACAGGGCTGGTGGAACAAGGGTTGCTGACGAATCACCCGTCTCGGACTCCACCATTTTGTGAGCTTCGTGGTTTTGCAATGATTGGGAGCTGCGGTGAGTAGTGTGAGGTGGTGTCCCGGGACCGGGAAAATCCCCACCGGTCCAAAGAAGCCTGGGGGGCTGAATTGTCAGAATAAATCAGCCCGGTATAGCGTCTGGAGAGCGTTGGCTCTCCCACAACTTCTGTGCTTGCGAAAGTACCCAAGTTAATGATTTGGGTGAGGAGGCTTACAAGATTCCTGTAGTTGGATGCACCAAGGTGTCCCTTCTTCAATTAGACTGTTTATGTGTTGAATGCAGGAACTCGTTTAGCATGGCAGTAAGGCTCCGTCCCCCATTCTTTGTGTTTCTAACGCAAAATGTTGATATGACTGTTAAACTAATAAAAAAAAATATATAATTCTAAATATGAAATTTTTATTTGCCGCAAATATTAAAAATTCTAACAACCGGGGGCGAGGCCTGACCGCAGAACTGAGGGAACGCTTGCCTCAGCAGCTCCAGCTAAAGGGGACATAAAAAGCGATATTACGCTGACAAAACGGCAAACAAAGGACACCCAGCGTATATACCTTCCACGCGACGCTTTAATCGGTACACACCCGACACCCTGGAGAAGCCTACCAGCATGGTGAGCGGAGGATAGACGGTCGCTCTCTTGCTGCCAAGGAACGGCCAGAAACTCGACCCAGAGCCTTCGTCCCCCCACCCCCATGGCCCGGCGAGGGCTATCCCACCCCACATATTCCCCCCTGACAAGCTGCACTCAAGTGACACAACCATGAAGTCCGGAGGACACTAATGAGGCCTACAAAATGGCGGATGGCCCACACACAGCAGCCATGTGCAGAGCTAGAAGGGAAATGGAGCTCTGACTAAGCGGCGTATTCGGCAGTCAAAGAGAGGGACACAGCAATCCCCCCAGACTCCACTTCCAAGATGGGCAGGCAACAGAGACGGGCTGCCCCAAAATCAGAGACATGGAGCCCCACTAAGAGCAGACGCTGCCCAAAAAAGTGTCAAGAGGACCCCTGCGAGCAAGCGCCAAACACCACCTCGCCCACATGCAATGACCCAGCACAGGCCCCGGAGTGGCACAGCCCACCTGGACCAACCGAGAAGATGGCGGAGCATGAGGCCTAAAATGGTGGTGGCAGCAGCAGATCGACCAGACAGGAACCGCAGCAACCTGCGCCACACCGAACAGAGGGACTCACAACCGGGACTATACCCTATCTATCAAGCGAGCCAGAGGTCCACACTGGGACTATTCTCCCCTGCAATCCCGGGCCACCGAAAGCAAGGCACAGACCACCACACCAGGAAAACACCAGAACCCCGCAGGGCATCGGACGACTGCCATAACACATGGGCAGCTGCACGGACATTGGGACAGCTGCTTCTAACACTTGCGCTCACTATTCACAGTCTTAGGGGACCACCACACACATCTGCAGCTCCATGGCTGTGTCCAAGCCCGCTCCATGCACCTACACCCACTAGACCTCAGACACTAGAAAACTACACTTACCACCCAGGGAGCCCATGGGGGGCACCACTACTACTACTTTTCCTATGACAATCAACTTCACCCTAACGCAAGACACCACATACCCGTGAACTTCATCCCACCATCAGATCGCATAACCTATACACACACTAAGATATCGACCCGCTGACGCCCAAACATATGCTTGTGTATCTTATAATATTTTAATTAAAATCTGATGTTTTGGCCTGTAACACTAAGTCTATCGTTAGTTATTTAAATAGTGCTTTTGATCCAATCCACCATGAGATAATGTACAGATTACATCATTGTCTTATGGGAAACCCTCTATAGAAAAAAAACAAGTACAGTGAATTAGAGCAAGCACCACTGGAGCAGGTGGTGTGAGTCCCTAAGGATCAAATGTTCCCCATTACCTGGCCTTGCAAGCTGCCTTTATTTTTAAAAC